AATCTGGAAAAAACCCTCTCGAAAGAATATTGAACATTGAATTATACAATATTTCTAGAAATATTCCTTTTCATCTGCCATGTGGCAATTCCAAAAACCCGATAAGGTTTGTTAAGTTATTTTTTGTTTATAAAAACGACAAAAAATGTCAGTATGACAATGAACATCATTGTTCAGTTAGAATATTCTAAGTTTTCGATTTCACGTCAATAATTTTTATTTACGGTGCGACGCGTAACTTTCACGGGACCGAAAGGATTTTCAATGAACGTTTTCCGAATCGTCCCATCTGTAGAAAATATTTGAGGAAACTTGTATCCAAATTCACAACTACCGATAGTGTACTTAACAAAAAACCCCCAGATCATCCGTCCATTCCGGAAAAACAGCAAGTGCAAATAATTGTTCAGGTAGTAAATCCTGAACAGTGTACTTATTCCGTCGCGAATATTTGTGAGGTGTCTCCTCCTACCGTGTTGAGACTTTTGAAGAGGCATAGGTATCATCCATACAAAATTTAAATTGTACACCAATTAACTGAAGATGACCCTGATCAAAGAACAAAATTCTGTGAAATCATGACAGAAAACATTGCAAGGCTTCCTACCTATCTCCACAATATTTGTTTTAATGACAAATTCACAGACAAAATTGCCGTGATTAGAGTGACACCAACCCTCACGTTTTCCAGGAAACACATACTCAATATCCAGAAAAATATAACGTTTGGGCAGGAATATTGGGAAACCATATAATAGGACCTCTATTCATTGATCAAAATTGAACAGGGGAACTGTATTTGAATTTGCCGGAAAATACTGTTGACCCTCTCATCACTGAAATCGTCGAAGCGAATCTTGTATTCCAACAAGATAATGCACCAGAACATTACTCCAGACAAGTAAGAAACTATTTGGATACTACCGTCGAGGTCCTACAGAATGGCCAGCCCGCTCGCCACATTTGACACCTTTTGACTTTTTTATGGGGCTATTTGAAGCAAAAGGTGTACGAAACTGAACCTGCTTTTCAATATTGGATATACGACAGAGAATAATGAATATTTGCAGAGATATTGACGTTACTGTATTCGAAAATATTCGGCGTGAAATATCGGATAGGCTGTTCATATATCAAGACGTTCACGGCAACCATTGCGAGTATCTTCTGAACTAACCCCAAGCTTATTACCTTATATTCGTTTTCCCAGATTGCGCCCAGTCTCCATCTGGAAAGTTTCATCTGTCAATTTTAATTTAAAATAAAGTATTCTTGCATGGTTAACGGAAAAACAGATTATAAACAGAGAGATTTATTTCATTATCCCAAATTTCAATTTTTTGTGTTGATCCCTTCAAAAAATAAAAGGTGGGGGACATTAAAGAAATACAGTGTTTGAAAGTAACTTCTGTGCATAATCTACATATTATTTCAAGAGTTCATTTTGAGAGTTTTGCTTTTTTCCTTCTTTTGGAAATCTCCCACATTTTTTGTATGGAGATAGAGAAGTAAAAAGCTGAGTAGAATAAATTATAAACAAGACCATAGTCCCAAAAAGTGCCGCGTTGAGTTATCTGTCCACTTTCTTCACTTTTGACAAACTCTGTCCACTTTATATACAAGGTAGCCTGATGACACGATTAAAAGAAATATGTGCTTCATTCTCTTAACAAGAATGTTTTCGCCGCCATATTGCATACACATTTCTTGTGAATTCTGTAATCTAACTGGCTATATGATTATCAATATATTGAGCCTTAGGTGAGCATTCTCAATAGCGTGAGAGAGTAATTGCCGAGAAATAATTCTGGGGAAGTTTAGATCTGCCTTAGTTCCCATAATTGTGATAATAATTCAAAACGGCACCAGAGGCAGGCGGTATTATTACATTTACATTTTAACTGGAGGCGATTTGAATAAAAACCGCGATATATTTTCCTTAACCCTTGATTAAATGAGGCTGAACAGCTACCCCTCGGAAAATTCAAACGAGGAATAATACTTTCAAGACGCTTTTTCACGCATTCTGCAGAAAATTTCGCATATTCGCAATTCGGGTGTTACCCTCTGGGATTTACTGAGTTGATCTTGTTATCAGGATGGCTGAACTTGGTTCGCAAAATATATATCAAGGCAAGCAGCCTTCTAATACTCATAGTGAATTTGTAAGTTTTTTTTTCATATATGTGGTAACTAGGGCATAATTCAATTTTTCAGAATGGTTGTTTGAAATTTCGAAAATTTTCCCTGATCGTATCATATATTAATTTGTTGAGAGAAATTCATCTCATCAAGTACCTTGTCAACTCTAACTGAATCAAATTAATCGTCAGTAGTACGTGAAATAGTACTTTCACCTTGCAAGATGATTTTGGGCTTATTCTACTATTTTTTTTTCGAGTGTTTGTCAAAGATCATAAATATTTGGTATTTTTTTTAACCTAATGGAAAAACCTAAAAATATGAACATGAATACCTCAACACGAAGTGTTCAGAAAAGAAGGTATTGCCGGTCCGTCAATTTTAATACTGAGGACGAAATATTTCGATTACATTCTCACCTTTGTCATTTGAACCCATAAGGATTGTGGATCGGAAGATAACTGGTTTCGAAGATAATCAACTCATTCTCACAATATAGGCTTTATTTCTAATACGTGTTTCATCACATAGTAATTTTCTCAGTTGGACTGGTTGGATTTCTGAATGAATTGTATATTTTTCAAGCCGCATTGATCATGATAATCGTGACAATACCAAATTGGTTGGGCAAAAAAGATAATATTTCATGGAAATGATAACCCTTATATTATGGTCGTGTGCATTGCAGCACATAAATGAATTCAAAACTACTTATGATGTTGGTTGATGAGGTAACAGAGCATATTTTAATTGTTGAATGATAACCTGTTTGAAAACATACATTTGTTGACTTCAGGGGTGCTTGGATTTTTTTTTATTCAGTTAGATATAAGACCCTTTTCTGAACCTTTGGAAATTTGAGTACCTTCAATCAATCCTCCTATTTCTTCTTTGAAGGTGGAGCGGTTGATGTCATCAACAAGTTCCCCCGTGGTATCCTATTTTTTATTGTGATACGCGAAAGGTAAGTAAGTAGGTAGATCCAAAGTGAGTGGATATATTCATCACTCCACTGCAATTCGCAAGCTTTGATTTACTATGACTCAAACCTATCTACACTCGAACAAATGTGTCCAGTTCATCAACAAAGCCAATTACTTCGATTGGCGAGTGATTTTTCAACTGACAAGAGTAGGACTCCATCAAATACTGGAAAAATTCATTCGATACACGATGGAGCAGGTATGAAGTGTTTGTTCCACTGTTTCATTACCGTCCAAACAAAATTGGAAAGTACTACCTTCAACACAGCATGTTTCTTCATATTATGATTGAGAAAACAGTGACATGTGAGTAGACCTGTTTTACAACGTAGGACTTTTCTGGTGTAATCTATCAATTGTTTGGTATTCAATCTTGGAAAATATGTTGATGTCTTGGGACTCGCGAATCATGGTGAATTTCGCAAGAATTTTGAACCTCTTCTTTAGTTATCCAGTGCTATATTGAAGACGCCTTATGCGATTCTGGTTTGATAAATCCGCGCCTTTCTCTACGAGGAATTTGGCAATTTCATTACATTTCAACCCTTGCGGCTAAGGAATCCAGATCAGAAACAATTCGTTTAAAATTCCTATAGGGAATAGTATTTTCCATCAGTTCATCACCAATTTGGATGTTGCTTGGTGAAAGTCAACTGCTTTCGGGAAATATTCCTATTGGTTCATGTGTGTTTTTGTTTTCGCCGATATATCCACACATATCTTTGACATACTTGTCCATAGTTATTTTTGTTCTATAAATATATACATGTGTACCAGAATTTGAAGATATTTCAGATCCATTTATGAACCAACAGCTATCTGCTCTCAGTATTTCCTCCTCCCAGAGGTTTCAGTTCTCACAACTCAGACGTTATGTTCATAGTTAACATTTCCAGAATGATGTGACTTTCAGTGTTGATCACTATCACACTTCTCATAAGCATGTAGTCACCAATGTAAACAATTTTATAAGTTGTCCATGTAGCCTCTCTTTCCAGAAAGAAGTGAGAAAGGAATAGGTCTAGGAAGATTTCCATGATAGCTAAAGAGTTGTTTTTCAGCCTATTTTTCATTTCTACAATTTAGGATAGCCCATGGCTAGTCTATGGCTAGTGTTCTTGCTACCAGGTAGAACTTTCAAAAATATTTGGTTTTATGATTAGAGAAAAACTCCTATCGTATATCAAGTTATACATATTAAAAAAAACATTTTATTGTGAGATTTTCACCGAACAGCTTTACAAAAATACAACATGTGTTTCTCCATACAATGGCTTCTTCAGACATGTCTTCATTCAGTCTCAAAATTGTCGTCACACTCTCAAATCTTTGTCTCTTCATCAAACAACTTCTGATAATCTATTGTAAGGCACAGACTCATCCGATTCTGGAATACTTCTTGGTCATGTGGTTTTTAACTATTTACCTAAGAAGGTTTTTTTTTATGATTTCACCACTTTCTTTAGGAATGACACAAAAACTGGTCGACAAATGGCTTATATTCAAGAATTATTTCAATTTATATGCAAAATTTGTCCTCACAAAGTATTTTCTGTTTGGTAGCCCCTCCAAAACAAACTTGAACTTCTATGTAATATGATATCTCTTTTATCTTATCAATATAGAGTTTAATCCCAACAATGTGACTGAATCGTCGTTCAAAAGGTGCTGAAGAAGAATTGATAACTGGTACTTTTGCCTGAAACTCTGAGGTACACCTTGAGATGAACATATATTTTTGTAAATATAAAATTTGTTTCCATATATAATTTTATATGGGATTTTCTGATGATATTATCCATTTCAGTATGATTGTTGTGAAATATAGTTAGTAATTTATTTGTATTTCAAGGCAGTTATAATGAGAAAAGCTTGTATTGATACATTTCACTTCTGCAGGAAATTTTCTATTTATATGCCAATGTAGAAGATGAAGATTTTTTCAGATTTCTTCTTCGAAAAAATTTATTTGATGATATGAAAAAATATTGTGAGTAACTGAATTTTCATTTATTTTTTTATTCAAAGTTATTTTTGATTTTACCATGTATATTTTCATATAGAAATAAATAATTCAACAAGTAGTAAATGTACATATTTTGAGAGTGTTATAATTTTCTATGAAATAATAAATAGCTTCTTGAATACCAACTACTTCTCCAACTCGTCAGTGCATTAGATTGTCATCACGAAGTCGTGGGTGACATAATTTCAACAGTTAATATGATGCCTTTTCAGTTCTTCTTTTGTTGGAACCAAAAACTCATAAGCTGGCTCTTCCTTTTCGATAACCCACAAACTTCCGTTTCTACCATTCTCCAATATCTTTATGAGTTCATTGGATACGAACTCCGGCCTGAAAAAAAAACAAGTCATTCAACTTCGAAATTAACTCTCAAATAAGAAAAAATTATTGAAACCCCGATCAATAACTTTGTTGTCACCTCTGAAGTTTTCTCTGTTCTCTTTTCTGAAACATGTCCATATATACAGGATCCAATAGGAAGTCACGTAGTTCAAAACTAGTAGTTCTTGTTCTGCCAGGAACAATGGCCATGACTCTCACTTTAGTTCTTTGGTAATGCATCGGATGTGCCCAACTTCTGGTAAGCCCGATAATTGCCGACTTGGTCCCACTGTAAATCGGGGCGACGCCATATTGGACGATACCAGCCAGAGATGCGGTGTTCAGAATTACAGCTTCTTCACCTTGTTTATAGTTTTTCAAGTACCTTTCGAAGCCGAGGAGAATGCCGTTTATTGTGCCATTCTGAAATAATTAGTAAGTCATTTTAAACATCCATTCGTTGGCTCAGTGGAAATGTACAAAAACAGCTGGATAATTTTCCAAAATAAAAAGTTACGTACCAAACAAATCATAAATGAAAATACATTAAAGATCGGGTAGCATCTAGTTGAAACTAGCTCGTCATTAGAAAATGTTCTATGAAATTCATTTTTCGAAATTTAAGCTAAAATTTCCATCAGGAAAAAGTATATACAGCTTTGTTTTAGGAATGATAAGAAATTTCAGAAAATCCCAGTATTAGTGATAAGGAGAAATTGTGAATGGTGATACCCACCAAATTGATGGCGATTTCTCTTTCCCAGTTGAGATCGTCCAGGATACCAGCATTGTTGATAAGTATATCAATGCTTCCAAATTTCTCTAAAGTAGATTCAAAAGCAACTGAAAATAAGTTATTTATGATCTGGAGCTATTTGAAGCTTCCAATACTCACTTTGTATTTCCTCCATTTTCGTCACATCACACTGGATGAAGATCGCTTTTCCTTTCCCAAACTCAGTTTCTATTTCTTCCAAGGCTTTTTTTCCATTGGTTTCATTTATATCGGTCAGAGTGACACCCTTCACAGAAGAAATAATCAAATATATTCTGGTTGGATTGAAGAATTTCAATAATATGTATATTATGAAATCCTAGTTATGTTTGAAAACTCTTTTGACAAATTATATTTCCAACGGGATTATTTTCCTAACATTGAATGATATTCGTGCTTTGAGTCATCTCTAAATCCTCTAGATGACGTTTTTCGTGAAGCTAATTTATACTCAAGCTTGTCTTTCAAGCTACTTGATTCCAAAAGTATATTTGTGATTCAACTCACCACCATCATTGGGATCTGTGGCAGGTCGAAAAGACGCTGTTTGGTGTTGGACCACAAATGCTTTGTCTTTGGGCTGAAAACCAACTAGTTCCTTGCAGTGTTTACCTATGCAACAATTTTTGGGCGACAGTAGAGGCCTTTGGGAACTCTATTCATTATTGATAATCATAGTAGTATCGTATCGATCATATATTGATGGCGTCTTTACTTGGAAATATCTCCATGCTAACACATACTCATGATTGGAAGCTGAGTTTGAAAATGCATCTGTGGTTCAGCCTAGTACCAATGACGAGACCTATCTATAGCAGGTTGGAACCATGCTATATGGGGTTGTATCTATCACGAATATCGGTTTTGACTTATTTTTGAAAATTATTCGAAAAAAGAAAGGGTACGTGATACTTTCTGGAAGATGTCTGGTTCAGATCAGCCTTCACCCAACCCCCTTCTTTCTCACGAAATTCAACTTTGTGTTCAGCGCCAATATAATAATAATAATCATAATAATAATCGAGTGGGCTGAAGTCGGAAACTGAGGGGTCCATCACGGCTTGCCAGGCTTGTTTTTTTTCAACACCTTAGTCTACCGCAGTCGCGTGATGGGTATAGCGGTTCCTGACACAAGGTGCAGGGCTTGCCACGGGGCGCCCGAGATCCTGATGCACATCAACATGTCCAGCATATGCGGTCTCGGCCTATATTCATCGACATAACGCGGCCCTAGGAGTGCTATATTACGCTATATTACGGCACTCTTACGGTATTGACGAGACACCGGTGTTGCTCCACGCTCCGAAGGATATTGAATCCGTTGTGGGGAACGAGAAGAGCCGAATTTGAATCCGTTGTGGTGAACAAGAAGAGCCGAATTTATTGGAACTATTCTTTCGTCACCCTCAGGCTCATACAAGCTAATAAGCCTCCACCACCAGAGCGAGACGATATTTGTCGTGGAGTTTTCAGCTCCTGGCGAAGAAAGATAATTTAATAAAAACTAGGCTACATAATACTGTCTTCGGATATAAAATGAGTTTCAAGTAGTTGACAATTTTTCATAGTGAATTTCACTAGGTCGGACTCCAATTGTCTAATATAAAACTGAAATCAGAGTGAATAGATGAAACATCAATCATAATAAGCAATGAAACGTAAGATGAAAATACAATAAGACGAATAAAAATGATCAAGAACAAAATGAAGATGACAACAGAGTTGAAAGAAATACAAAAATGAAAAAATGAATGGGAATAAGCAAAAAATTACACGAAGACGATTGTGGATACCAACAATCGGAGCGTCGTGAAGTAATTTGGTTGGAAACCTTTTTAATTTTTGTTTGATTTTTTAACTATGCCTTTTCTATTATTTCTTACAATTTTATTTTCTCATTTTGTTGTCATTTTAATTTTCATCTTGATTCTTTCAATTTATTTCACACTCTTTTCATTTCCCGTTTTATTGCTCAATATAATTGATACTTCAACTATCCACTCTAATTTTAGACTTTTTTCAGATATATTGGATCATATTAAGATCATATTAGACAATGGAAGCCCGAAATAATGAAATTCATGAGATAAGTGTTTCATGTGAGTAATAGTAAATACTTGATTGAACGGGTGTTTTTCCTGTAATTCAATTTTCTTATGTGGAAGTAGGTGTTTCAAAAGAGTATTGTTTTCAGTTTGTATCGGAAATAATTTTCTGTGTATAATCTACATATTTTCATGTAAAATTTCTATTGACATTGATTTTCTTCCTTTCTTTAGTAGTTTCCTATAGTAGGTATTATTTCAATGATGTTGAAGAAGAAAGACGAAAAACTTTTTCTCTGAAAACCAATCCCTCCTGATAATATTTCTTTGTCAATTTGAATAACATGTGCATATTTTAGCATAATACTGTTTTCAATAAAGGATGCAGTATATTTAAAAATAACTTCTGACTTTCTCAAATGAGATGTTTCATGAAAAAAATTAAGAAAACTTTTGAAATATTTCTAGTACTTCTAGAACACTGAGGTAGACTAAATATATAAAAAACTTTCCTTTGGTAGAAATATCTGATTGGTTCAGTTGATTTTGTGTTGATTTTTCCGAACAGTGATTTTTGTGTGTATTATTTTCATATTATTGGAATTGTATTCAGAAATTAATCTAATGAAAGTCCACCATTATTTAAATTTTTCGTACGATAACCTACATTGATACACTTCGAAACTTACCTTGAGATTATTCCTGAGTAACTCTTTGGCATGGCTCAGACCCATTCCAGATGCAGCTCCTGTTATTAGAGCTACTTTTCCTGCGATTCTGAACACCATGTTGATACAAGTAGTTCACTGTTCCGGTTTAATTGAAAAACAGATCAACAATATCAGTTAATGCCAACAATTTGCTTGTTTTTTGAATTTTAATAGTCTCATTTTATTGATAAACGTGATGTTTCGCAAATAACCGCACTTTAGGGGAAAGTGGAGCAATTATGCAAATGTTTGTAGTTGATACTGGAGCTTGAATAATTGGAATTATTCGAATTGTATTTATTGAACGTGGCGAGTGTGTACATCATTTTTGTTGATTTGGGTTCAACTCTGAAAAAATCTATGACAGGGAGATCAAGTCTAAGAAATCTGAAAGCTACCTCTTCAGTAGTCTCTAGTATAATTGAACTTCAAATTGGATGGGGTATATCTTCAGGAGAGATAAATTTTCAGAAAAAAAATATTTTGGATTATTACAAATTTTCCTGCATTTAGATGGAAAAGTAGAAAGCCACAAAAACTTTCTTTCCAAATAATTATTGAATCTGAGGTTTTTTTATTCAGAACTATTAATATTCCTCAATGAATTATTCAACATTTTGCAAGTCTTAGGAATATTTATTGCTGATTATTGAATGATAGGGTTCAAATCAATCCCTTGAGAAGTAATGAAACATCTATGAAAAAATTGAACTAATCTAGGTGTTGTCAGTGATCTCGAAAGTGATGACGAGAAAGATCCCCAATTTGGGTTCCATCGACGATTTATTGACGATCATAAGTCATTATGTCATCATGTTGGTTGTTGAAAGTGTCAATCAGTTATACTTTCCCCTACTAGGAGTATATTGCACATATTGTCTGAATAGAAATCATACGATTGTTCAGTGTCATGAGTTACCTAATTCCTCAATAGTAGTCCCACTATATTACTGATATCCGTGGATATTTCATCAACGCGGATTCATGAAACCTGGCTGTCGATCAGATATCAGTAGTTAGATGTATTGCTTCCTCAAGTGATTGTATAAATCTGTAGATTCGATTGAAATATTTTCATGGTTGCTGCATCATGCATATAACTTTCCATTTAACATATGCAAACCAATAATAGTTACTGAGGAATATAATATCGTTCTAAAAGTATTCAATTATCAATAAAACATAGCGACATACTAACGGAATATGGACAGAAGAATTCAAATATTGCTTTCGAGACTAAGTCAGTTCCAATGATGTGTTTACTGGTAAATTGTAACAACATTGCCCAGTATTCGATCACGGATGCAACACCTCTTTGCTTTGGTATCATTTATCATTGAATTCTCATTTAGCCACCAATTTCGAAACACAACTGAGCAAAGGACCTCCATTCAGTCTCTTTCTATAGATGGTGTTTTTCGACTGATTTGATTTTTGGTTCTTTATGAAGGAAGTTTTTCTTATTCTAGGTTAACAATTGTTTGCGTAGGACTCAGTAGTTGGAAGCAGTCGTTACTGTAAAGATAATAATTTCTGATAACATTTTCCAAACGAGAAATCGTTACAACTAAAAAGTGTTCATCAATTGAACTCATTTAATTCCATTGTTTCATCAATTCGATTCCAATCAAGAACAATGAGTACCATAAAACCCTTTATAGTTAGTATTTCACTACACACAGTGTAAATCTTGAATACGTTACCAACAAATCAACTTGATGATACTGAAGTGAAGTTTCTGGTGATTACTTTTTATGGGCTGAAAATAGACGATTAAGTATGCTATCCAATTTTTTTTCATTCCATGGGTTAAATGGGAATGAAAGACTACCATACATCTTGATTTTTTTATGATTTATTTTTCGTGGTATACATATTTTTTCTTATTTTTTCAAAATCCATTTCAGATTGGATTGAATCAGTTTGACCCTCTCACCACTAGTATATCTTCAAAAACTAACAACGATGTTTAACGCTATCACTGTAAAGAGAGGTGACGACCTCATTCATTTGTTTTTCGAAATATGTAAATTATTTTGTACAAAACACATCGTATATGTCCTATATGTGTATTGTGTATGTAGGTACTTTTCGGAATCAACGAGCTTATAATCCCCGATGTTTATTTTGTTGAGGATGTATCGAGTTCACAGGGTCAGTCTACGGGAATTACATCGAATCAGATCACTTAATCATTTTTTGGGTTGAAAACATTTACCAGAGTGCAGAGGAAATAACACCAGATATGTGATATATCGGAAAGTATGTGGGAAAGTTCACCTTACTTTTATTGTAGGAGGAATATACAACTTCATAACTACCTACCATTTGAAGAATGGATTCAACAAATTTTCAATATCTTCATTATGCATGTTATGTGGTTTTTTCTAATATAACAAGCAAACTAACCTTCTGAGAAATACAGAAATATTTTCTTTTGGTTACTTATTTTTGAATAAAAAACTCCACTTCTATTTTCTGAATCATTGCTCGTTTTTCACCAAACATTGAAATTCAGGAAGTATTACCAACACTACACTATCATTTTCTTATTCCTACAAACATCTAAAATTGTCGTGAATTCGATCAAACTTTTGCAATTCGGAGCCTGAAACCTTTCAGTGTTGATGATTATGAATGTCTCTCGTGAATCATTTCGCGTGAAGCCATTGATGCAATTTTTCACTGCAAAAATTTTGAAAGAGACAAGATATCAAGGTCGGTTGAAAATGAAATAAAATGTATCATTTCCAGTACTTTTTGATTTAAAAAAACAACAGTTGTGCATCCAAAATCACCACTGACACCCCCTTTGATAGATATTTGAAATATTTATCCTCCTATCTTTCCTGAAAAATGACAAATGAAACTTCCTATGTTTTAATATCACTTGTATTTGTTACTAACGTTACTGCAGTTTCGTCCTATTGTATTGTTACTTTTTCTTTACTGCAGTTTCGTCCTATCAGGATATTTTTGAACGGATACAAAAAAATTGTATTTGTTCGAAAAAGTAATCATAGGATAGAACCATAATAACGTTAGTTATAAATACAAGTGGTAGAAACGTCAGTAGCAAATACATGTGGTATAGTTCATTATGATCTCCTACCACCTAGTATTGGATACATTCAACTCCTCCCTTTCATTTTTAAAGTTTCATCAGCCATTCTCAAGTGATTAGCAGGAATCACACGTGTTAGAAATTACTTGTTGAAAAGTAAGACCTCATTAGTCCTTAGCTCGCACAAATTTCGACATTTGAGGGTTGTCGTTTATTAGGGTGCAATAGCTGGTCGATAGAAAAACATATTTCAAACATAAATTTGTTCTGGTAATCTGAAAAAAGGCAATAGATATGTTACTCTCTGAAAGACATGTTTTGAGGAGGACTCAATACCCACTGTTTTTTGAGTGTACATATTCTTCCACAATATGAAAAACAAACAGAGCCATATCAATAGAGAATCTGCTGAAGTGTGATGAAGTGCAAACTTCACCCCAAAAAGTCACTGCGTGATATAAACCACTGAAGGAGTCCAATTAGTCAGTAATATGTCGTGAGTATTCATAAATTTTGCCTACAAATTAAAAACAATCAATTAAAAAAAATTAATATTGTAATATTCAGCTTCTTTCTGTGGAAAACCATCTTTATCCGTTTTCAAAACCTGAAATTTACTCCAAAATTTCGTCTAACATTGTGAATAGCTTCAAGTCTGTTGGCGTAAGTCGAAAACATTAAATGTCATATGCGATAGTCTACAGTCTACATAAACTGGATGTTCCTTTAAACTGTTTTATTTAGCTTGCTCCGTTTGTTTGGACCAAACTTAGTAATTGAAGTTTGACCTGCTCACTGTCGGCAGAATAATCTAATGAAAACCTTTATGTTTGAAAAAAAAAATTTGAAATATATGTTTTCCTTTAACATCGCACCCCTACGAAAGATAACCCTTAGAAATCGAAACTTGTGCGAGCTGAGGACTAACGAGGTCTTATCTTTCAACGTGTGATTCCTAAGACGGATTGGACGATAGCAAGTGAAAATCGAGCGTTCAGCCTGCGGCTTGAACAATCGACTCACACATCGGCCGATTGACTGAGTGAACAAAGCACCTACATTGAACACCCGGCTACCGACCGACCTTAGTATGGATGACATTACAATTTAATAAATTTTGTATCAATATAAATCCAAGAATAGTAGTAAACTTTAAAAATCGTGCAAATGCAAGATTGCCGCACTTACGAAATTGCGGATTACAAATTACCTCGTAATACTGAAGCACCAAATGAAATGAGCAGAATAAGAAGAATTGAGTTTCAAAATTGGAAACTACAAACTAGAAAATGGAATATGTGAAACAAATGTTTTATGTCAAACGGTTTCATTAAAAAAAAAAAGATAATGTACTGAAAACTGAACAATCAATTAGAGAGGTTCTAGATAGCAATCATCACACCTCTTTCCTCAGCAATCCACGGAATTGATCGGATGAAACATATTACATATTTACTCAGGTTACGCTTTCCCTAACGACATCATTTTTATAGAAATGTAGGCTTTCACGGCTGACGTCAATGCTTTGGATAGTTTCCGGGTTTTGCCGTGGTCTTCTTTGGTAATGATCTCCAAACCTCTCGACAGCAACTGCGGCAGTCATCTCCATTGGTGTGGTCAAAGTACTCTTAATCAGACAGCGTTTTCGATGTAAGCTCCTTGGGTAACTCGACTCCCCAACGATAACATCATCATATTTATCCATTTCAACGATTGGTGAAAATTGACAGACAGACGCAAAGGAGTGACTTTCATTTATAGTATGTGGTAAAATTTCATTCGATATGCAGTATCTGCTTATGGAAATATTGACGAGCAGCGTGACTTATATATTATCTAAGCATTAGTTACTGGGATGACTGGGACAGTGGCGATTACATTATGTTATAGAATAGGAAAAGTGTATTGATTCATTACCGTTTGTGACTTGAAGTAGAAGAGTCATTAATTAATATATAGTTATACTGTGAATACGCGTATGTTTACGTAACCTTGTCCAATCTACTACAGATATTGCCTCTTCGTTGTAAATATACTCAAAAAAATACGAATACTCATGAATGATATTCCTTGAG